GTTTCAGGACCCCACCTTGATGTTTCAGGACCCCACTTTGGGAACCCGACCCCAACTTTGGGAACCACTGGTCTAGACCACCTTAAAGATTAACAAAGATGTCAGCTTCCTTAAAACAAAATGTAAAGAAATTAAGGATGACTCAAGACTTTTGCACACACATCTTGCCCCTACTGTTCAGCTTTTAAAATGCCTGTGACAAGCAGKCCCTTCAATTATGAAAAGTCATTAAAAAACATTTTTATATTTATGAAACTTAGCATGATACACATCATTTTACCTATTTTGTTACATAACTGGCTCAGCCAAAGGTAAACAGGAAGTGACACTAAAGGGGAACTCTTTAAGACTCCCCGGTCTTTATTTAATGAAACAATATTATTTTAACTCTGAGTCTTCATCTCTCTGATGGTGACTCAAAAAAAAAATAATAATAACATCAGGTTCTTCTCTACAGTCTGTGTTGTTACTCATTCAGAAATTACCAAAGGCCTGAAGAGAAGAGTAGWCCCTGTGTTGGCTGAAATTCGGCCGCCTTTTTGGAACGGTCACGCTTCCTACTCAGCAAAACCTAAACAGCAGAAGAGATGCCACAGGGCGTCCTATTTTTTATTTATTTTTTTCAAATCAGCAGACTATTAATATCAGGGCTCAGGGGATAACTTTTCACAAATAAAATGAAAACAATTTTTTTGGTATTTTGTGAGGAGAACATTATTGCAACACTGGTGTTCACCCAGCTATGAAGGCTAACTGAGACTTTATAAATCATATAAAGACTCAGTTATTCACTAACACTGATTTAGATGATCGGACGCAAGAACACTACCGTAGAAATAAAACAGTTATTACGGTTATAACATTCACCAGAAAACTTTACACAGATGTGACTCACTGTATTYTTCACAGGTAGCCTAATTAATTTCTTGACCCTAAGATGCCTCTGGTATCATACCCAGCATAAAATACAGAGCATCTGACTGGAATAACTTTCAAACCAGCTTAAGTGCAGCAACTTTGGATCGTTATCAAGTTTTGTTGAATTAAGGTTCAACACGGCCCCACGACTCTCCAGCACCAGGTGATCCATGAGGTGTCTATTCTTTTTAAGGTCTATAGACATTCCCCTTTATCATCACTTCCTGTTACTTCACATCTAAACAGTTTAACGACTGTTCCTCTCAGTGGTGTGAAATTAATTTTGCAACATGTTATCTTTCAAAAAATACATTCATCTTTATAACAAAAAAATTTGATGTCATAGGCACATTAAAAGTACACTAACTCTCATGTTTTTTGCACAGAAGGGCAAAATAAGTTGACAAATTCTCACTTGGTGCTTGAATAAAAGACCTGTGGGAGTTGGACAGGAAATACCATCGTGTCAGAGTTGGATGGAAACACACGACACATAGGAATCATCTGAATACATATTTATTAGATAAATATTAGGTTGTCACATCGTCTAACTACATACAGTTCTGCAAGACTAAAAATCACAATTAGTTCCTTTATTTTCTGACCAGTTTAGAGTATGAAATGATTGTACATACAATGTACAAACATAGAGACAATGGCCACATTGCATGAATCACCGTAGATTGTTATCATTTTTCCAACTGTTCATGATATCAAAAATTGTACAAACGTATGGATTTGGTTACAGTCTTCTGGACCTCATCCCTAACCACCAAGTTATTCCTCACTTCCAAGTGGTTTGTAACCTTTTGTTGTTCTCTTTTTGTATTTTTATTTTTTAGCTTTAGCACCTCGAAGTATGCCGGTGAGACTAGAACATGTAGGCTAAATAGTAAAACACAGCTGTCCCAGTTTCCCTAACAAAAGAGGTGAAAGTATATTACAGAGGCAGGGCAACAAAAATGCTGAAATACCAACAGACACTAACTAACATGTTTCATTTTTCCATATTCAGCCACGTCCAGTAGAGGGGTTGCAAGCTTTTTTTTTTACCATATTAAGAAGAAACAATGCACATTCCCAAGGAAAATTAATTAATTTCTGTTCACGTGTCTCTATAATAATTTACATATATATACAGACAACCTTGGGACGTTTGGTAAGCCTCGCCTTTAGCATCTCTTAAGCCAGACCTAAGAACGTGCCCTTCCTTTCTATGACTTTTTTTTGTGTGTTATTTTTAATTTTTCTCGAAACATCTTCCAAAGAAATGGCCTTTTATCGTGATCGTCCAACTACACACTTGGGGTGCTGCATGAAACACCAAGCTGGCTTTCTTGAAAGCAAGAACAAACGCTGAAATGATGACAACTTCCACGGGATTTCAACTTGGATGGTGAAGTAGGGGGYAAAAAAAAGTGGCTTTGGGATGTTAACACAATGTCTCCTTGTGACCTGAAACACGTCGGCGCTCTCAGCTGGAACAAATAATACGTTTCGATAAAACCCACGCTGGTTAATGAAGCACAACGCTAAAGTGATAAGAAATTGGATTTCTAGCCTTACAGATTATTAAGGAAATGGAAACAGTACAAAATAATTTATCAAAAACAAAATCAACAACAAAAAAAGTTTGTGTAGGGGTGTGGGGGTGGGGGACGAGGAGGGATAAAAAGGTTTATGGTCTCATYCTTTTAAGAAAAAGCCACAGTTTCGATAACAAAAATATAAACAATATCATGGATTTCTTTAAAATATGGTTGTGATATATCTTACAAAACCACTGTGTATTAACAGTTAGCAACAATAGTGATATTTATATAGATCAACAGTTACARTGACAGCCAGCTGATACCGCCTCATTTTCAAAGCCCCCCCACCCCACTGCTCAGATCAAATGTTTAGAGAAATTCATGACTTGATCAACACACATTTAGCCTGGAAGAAAGTATTGCTTCAAACTAAAAGCAAATGCAGCATGATCCCGGTGAGCGGAGGAAAGAGACGCAAAACAGACAGCGAGGTATGAGAAGTGAGGAGGGAAACGGGCGGGGATAGCTTATGAGACGTTTCAACTGGTTTCCTCCGGACGACGAGGGCGAGACAGCTGGTTCTACAGTCCGATCTGGGAGCGCTTATAGGGCTGGACGACTTGTGATCAGAGGACGAACATTATTAAGATGATACAAAAATATTCACAATGATATTTACAGTACGATAGCATTTTCTTAAAAAATAATACATTTGCATACTGAACAGCACTCTTCTCCAAAAGTGAAAATTGAAAACAAATGTGGCAAAACAAAACAAAACAAAAAAAAAAAGAAAAAAAGTTTGCACCAATACTGCTTTGAAATTCACTTCTTCCACCGCAGGGATGGCTCAACAGTTTCCTGTCCGACCATCGCTTCCCATCACACAGACACACACACAGACGCACACTCAGTCATAAGCATCTCCTTGCAGTCTTACACAGGATTGAGCAAACACAAACATTTCCATTCTCATTCCTCGAGCTTTGGTAAGCAAGTTTCCAAAAGATAAATGGATCGGTTTAAATATGCAGCAACGCGAACAATGAGAGAGAGAGAGGAAAAAAAAGGAACTAGAAGACTTAAAAACCAGCATTAACCCTTCAATGTTAGTGTTAAATAAAATCCAAACTTTGTGGAAAACAAGTGTCGGTAAAAAATCCTTTTTTTCCTTTTTTGTTTTTTTCACCACTTTGGAACAGCACTAGACGAGGGCTTGGCACACATGCACTTTGTACACGACTTTAACAGCACATCGTTCACCGAGGAGAGAGAGATGCAGCTTTGCAAACGTGCTGACAACAAGGCTCATGCAGAGCGGGCGACGTGGAAGGAAGGAGACGCTGATGGAAGCAATAAACGTGGCAAGATCGTCACAGGAACCCCAATCTCTCATGATGTACCTTTTCATTAAAAAATACAAATTAAATAAAATAGAACACTCGTCTTTACAGGTGGATAACATCGCAATGCGTAGAAGACCGGATTCTCATAAATGTTTTTTTTTTTTTTTTGTGGGAAAAGAGTCAAACTTCACAAAACCGATTGAAGTACAAATGACAGAATTGGAAGCCAATCAYTAAAACGTTGGCAGCAAATTTCTAGAAAACATTTTGACATAAACTGATTTCATTTCTTTTATAAAGACATTTTTTCCCTGTTTTAATTTTTTTTTTGCAGTGCCTGAAATTTTTTTTGTGCTTTGTAACAGATGGTGGACAAAAACAGTGTGACAAACCAGACCAGTCAGGGAATGGAGCGATGACACCATGAGGTTGTGGCCTCTCAGACTACAAAACGTAACACACACTGGCCAGATACAGATTTTTTTTGTTATTTTTCAGGTTTATACAAGGAATTCCTTTTCTTTTCTTTTTTTTTTTAAAGAAAACAAAAACTTATTTAAAAATGCTACAACACATTCCTAATGAGCACACATACGTGTGTGGTGTAAAAAAAAAAAAGAAAAAAAGAAGAAAGAAAAAAAATCAACTATAGCTGCACAGTCAAAGGTATCACCACAGGGTGGGAGGGTGCGGTAACCCGGCCAGGTTCTGCCGTGTCTTTTTGAGTTTGAAAATGTCGTAGTCAATCTGCGCTGGCGAAGGAAAATTGTACAAGAGGAAGAAGAGAAAAGGAGTGCATCTTTGTGTTTATCAAGTACTGAGTAACTGCCATGGTTTCTCGGGGAAGCTGCAGGCAATCAGAGAAGTTCATGTCTGAAATCGCCTCAGTTGCTTTCGAAGAGCGATAGAAGATCATCGTTGCTATTGCTGGGGAGGTCCGGGGGGTCCAGGTATGACAACAGTTCATCTGGGTTGGCAAGTTCGGGAAGAAGCTGAATGASAGAGTGAACGCAAACATTAGCTTTAACAAAACTCCTTCCATCCTGATTAGCTGTAACAGATTTCTACAAACTTACATCTAACGATGGCTCGGGCATGTCRGACCCCGCTTGGCTGTCCAAACTGCTGGAGGGGTTGAAGGTCAGGTCGTTGTGGGGATGGTTGTTGGGGCCAGGCTGCTGCAGCTGCTGCTGCGGTTGCTGTTGTTGCTGAGGGGGCGGAGCTTGCCGCGAGGGCTGGGGAGGCCCGCTGTGGTGTAGCTGCTGCCCCGATTGGCTCCCAGGGTGCGGAGACGCATGTAAGCTCTGTTGCAGGGGGCCGTGCGTCTGGTCAGGGCCGACAGAATGAGGTATCTGTCGAGGGAGCGGGAGGGGAAAAAAAATCATTAAATTAATTTCATAGTATTTTTTTTAAGATTAGGGCTGCACAGTGTATGGAAAACTACTGTATATCCTTATTGCATTATTAATGTGTGCAAAGATCCAAGGCCCTCACTGTGCTTGAAATATGCGAGAAAACTGGGGAAAAAAGCAAAAAGTACCACATCCCAGACAGATGTGGGTTTTTTGTAGCGATTGAGGAATTTGAACCTGCAACCTCCCAATTACAGACTCGCCTCCATTCTAGTCTTTAATATAGTATTTAGTCGTATAGTCTTTATACTGGTCATAAATATCAAACAACATGACATTTTTAAAACTGCTGTAGGTTCATTTGATTTGATTCAAATTAATTTGAATGTCTGAGATTTTGGGGATAAAAAATGACATTCCTTTAAGTTTTAACTTTATAGAAATAAAAGGGCGGGAAACAGTTTGAATCTGACACGTTTTTGGTACATCAGTATTTTGTTATACYTTGTTTCCAAAGGGACTCACAGATTCAGGCATGTTGTGCGACAGGGGCTTGTCTTGTGTCATCAGGCTGCTGGGCATGTCAGGTGGGTGAGACAGCTGGGGGCCGTGCATGAAGTCATTCATTGACGTACCACCAGGGGCGCTGTGGGGGAAATCAAAGTTCCCGTGTCCTTGGTAACTGTTGCCTGCACACAAATAAAAAATGGTAAATACTGGCATACATTACCATTCTTTAAAAAAAAAAAATATATATATATATAAAATAATTTTGCACATTATAATTMTTTACGAATATACAAATTCGAACACGAATAAGGACCTTGGTGTCCGTATTCGCTGTTATTGCCACCTTGGCCAGAGGGCAACGATGGGTACGGCGAAGGTCCGGGTCCGAGTTGAGCAATCATATCCATCACGTTGGGCATGATCATCTGGCTGGGACTCATCGTCTTAAACCTCTTTGCTAGCGGTCCATCAGGATCCTCCTTGATATGGATGTCAGATTTGATAGCAACCGGCCGCCAACTACATGTTGGGTCGATTGTGACTTCCTCAAACTCGGAGCTGGTGGAGTAAATTGGAATCAGTTGAGYTATCAGGAAAGGAAGAGAAATTCCGAACTTGCTGAACTCGACTTACTTTTGAATGGCATTCAGAATTCCCCACATGTACTGGTCCACTTCAAGTCCTTCTAGCAACGCTGTTTTACTAAAGAGAGAGCGAAACGATTTTAAACTACGGACAGGAACAGTCAGTAGATAACAGGTTCAGTTAAGAATCAGCTTACTTGCATACAGGACATCTCCATGTCCCCCGCTCACAGTTCAGTTGTAAATACGACTCCAAATCAAAACACTGCGTGAAAAATAAAGCAAATCATTTACACCTATGCGACAACCGATTTGTTTATTTATTCACTAACGTGAAGTTTAATAACCTGAACGTGTTTGCAGTCATGGCCTCTCGCTGGAAGTTGTATTCGTCGGAAGGTGATTGGACATTTGAGGGAAACCTTGATGGCCGTCTGCTCCACGCCGTCCTCTCCGTTGAGCGTGGCGTTCCCCGTTGACGCCGCGACGCTGCTGAAGTTCCTCTTGACTTTAAGATGAAAGAGGAGAAGAGTGTGTAAAGCAAAGACTCTGAAGCGATCGGGACATTAAGGTGCGAGTGAGTGAGTACCTTTGGTGATGCAGTGCTCCGCAGGCAGCAGCCTCTTCTTTAGGAGGCCCTGCAGGACCGAGCGGACRGACGGCCTGTGTACCAGCTGCAGCACAAACAAGTGCGACTGTGGGAGGAAACAACACAGTCACTACTAACAACATCCTCTTGAGGTGCACAATAAAGCCTTACGTTGCGTTTTATACTGTGGTCACTATTTATGTAAATGCTGATTCAGCATTCTTCCACAGTTTGGTTTTAGCCACCATTCGGCTACTTTTAGCTTTTAACTCACCATTTGTTATGTTTAGCTTTCCATTAACCCCTTTCAATTTTTACCTTTTAGCTTACATTTGATGCTTACAGCTACTGTTCTGCTTCTTTTAGTGATAACAACTCAGTGTTAGCTTTTTCATCAAAGTATTTTAGCAATCATTATTCACACCGCATTTTCACAGAAAAAGCTATTTTTCTCGTTTTTATTTTATAATTGTGTTCTTTTTTTAACGTTTCTGTTTTATTTTGATTTTTTTTTTGTTTACTCACACAGCAGCAGGCGGTGACTGTGATCTGGATCGTGTTCCTTCCTGGCTGGCATACGTGTTTCAAGTGCAGGGGTTTGTGTGATGTTTTGTTGTCGCCACGCTCAATCGTGAGCGGTGTGGCATTAACGCTGACTTGGACCGATGCCGGCCAGTTGGTATTCATCTGGCGGTCCTCGTGGTGGTAGCACTTAAACTGCAACTCCAGGTCCGATCTGCGCAAACCAAACATAAATAAACCTTTTCGAGCGTTTTACTTGAGAAACGTTTATATAAAGGCTTGTGGACATGTATATATTTTTCTTCAGCTAGCGAATAACCAGTTCCACAATTTTGTTCAAAAGCAGCATTAAAAGAAACGGTTTAAGTTTGAACCATGAGGTAACCAGCTGTCTCAAAAGCAGGGCTGTCAACAGGAGGTAAATCATAATGTATTACATGCTGGTTAGGAGCATCATACTGTATTTACCTCCACATGAGTGTCTGGTGCACAGAGGGCCGTAAGTGGAAGACGTGGTTGCTGACAGCCAGGTTATGTTCTAGCCTGAAGGGCTCCAAGACGACCCCGTCTCGAACTGGGAACGTCAGGCGCAGCTCCTCGTTGTGGTTGCCTACATTTATGGAGAACAGCCAATATCAGATCATCACAAACTTGAAAAAAATTAATAATCTTTGCTTTCAAACTGTATTTGATTTTTTAACTGACCTGGAGGTGGCGGGAGAGCCGTGATATTTGGTTTGATGTCAGGAGGGAAGGGTGGCTTCACATCCTGGTTTGGCGACAGGTATGGAGGGATGCTACTCCCTGGAGTCATGGGAGGGGTGGGGTTGCCTGGCACTGGGGAGTGTGGGTAGTTCCCAACTGGTCGTGGAGGCTAAACAGAGGACAGTTGGATAGTAAATCAGAAGTTTATTGAATATTAAAAAGCCTGTTCAGTAGTAAAATGGTTTGATAGTACAATGAATAAAATGGACTCACCCCATTCATGTTACCCTGGTTGTACTGGTATCCACTCCCTGAAAAGTTATTTGTTTGACCATTGAAAGGTGGCTCTTGCTGTAGTTGGATTAGATCAGAAAAGATACTTTATAATTTATAACTTACAACGAAATTAATAAAACAAATTGTGTTTTGGTTCATTAACCATCAGTCATTCTCACCGCACCTTATAGTACTGGCCCATGGGACCACCGTGTGGCGGGTACTGCCCTTGGAGCTGCTGTCCTGGCATCCTCTGACCGGGGTAGTTGGGGGACGGCAGCGGCCTAGAGGCATTGGGTGTGGGGTACTGCCCCTGCTGGCTAGGGAACTGGTTGTTTGGTCCATACTGCTGCCCACCATAAGTTGGCTGTGGATGACAACAAATACTCAACATGCGGGAAAAAAAAGCTCAATATTCCAACGAGTGTTGAATCGTCAACTCACCTCTCCTGGATATGGTCTTTTTATGCCCTGCATACCCATGCCCTGTGGCCGGGGTCCCGTGTAACCCTGCTGGGGCATTCTTTGGCCGTGGGCCCCAAAAGGCCCCATGCCTTGGCCCCTGGGTTGGCTCATTCCCATTGGGGGACCGCTCATGTTGGACGTGTTCATTCCTGCACCCATGTTTCCAGGGAGAGATGGAGGGCCACGAGGTCCAGGCTGGTTCATAAACTGGCTGCTGTACGCCTGGTTTGGTCCCATCTGGAAAGAGGAACTCATCTGGAAAAAATAAAGCAAGTATTATCAGCTCCACGTAACTGTCAGTGTGTTGATTTCTCACTGCACGACAGAGAAAACACTATCTCTGAGCTTATGTTGAAGCAAAATGTGATATTTGGCTTCAGTACTACTTGGTCTAATTATTCACGCTTAACCATGAATGTTAAAATAAGAGCCTAAATCCACTTCTTTCAACTCTCTTTGTAGTACTATTGTTAATATTGAAAGAGTTGTACCTAAAGGCAAAAAAAAGGATGAACATCAAAGACACTAGTAATTAGTGTGATGTGAACAATGCTCCCAGTCCTACCGGTCCGTATTGGTTCATGTCCTTGTTCTGGGTTTCCTGCAGGGCAGCCACAGTTGCGGTGGCGGTGGCAGTCGCAGTGGCAGCAGCTGCAGCAACTGCGGCCGCTGCAGCAGCAGCAGCAGGCTGGGTGAAATCTGACGGAGGACGGGAGTTTGAAGGGATGCCCATCCCACCGGGTCCAGCATTTGGCCCTCCGGGGTAACTTTAACAAGAAGCAGCATAATAACAATGATTACAACAAAGTACTTAATACACACATCAATGCAAAGAAAGTGTTTCTTGTCCACTTACTTGCCACCAAAGCCTCCTCCTCCAGGGTAGTTGGGTCGTCCGTACATACCCTGCTGCATGTAGCCCTGGTTTGCYTTGCCTTTGTTGGGGAACTGCTGCTGTGGACTGGGGAACTGAGGCGAGTTCATCCCCGGATTATTACCAGACATACCTGAACCCAAAGGATTACCCCCAGGGTTCAAAGGATTGCTGTTGTTGGCCATGGGATTCCCCAACACCTATTGGACAAAAACAAAGTCACATTTAAGATGTAGAAAATCATTACCAAAACACACACACAAGGTCATTACTTTCTACAATCGTATAATGAGTCGAAACATTTCAGTTGCCATTTTTTGGGTTGCCTCCTTAATAGAACAGACTGATGCAAGTCACTTAAATAGACTTTTTAACTTTTCAGATCGACCTCACCTGGCTCTGTGACGTGTTGGTCACCCCCCAGACCGTGGTCACCACAGACACTGAACCTGGAGGCTGATTGGTGTTTTGTTGCCACGGAACTGAGTCGTACGGAAAAGACCCATCTCTACAGGGGAATGGACAAACTTATCAAATAGACAGCAGAAAGCTTGGAGACAGCAATAATTAGGAAACATTTTCTCTTATTCTTCAGACACTGTCACTAATGACTCTGCTATAGTTAGTAAGTCTGGCAGTTTGTCTCACTGCAGATCCATTTGAGAGGAGAGGCTTTCCTCATCCACCTGCTCTGTCTGTTCACACACACACACACACACACACACACACTGACCCGTGTGAGAGGCCGGGCTTCATGGAGCTCATCGGGGGCTGCATTGGCACTTTTCCTGGAGGCTCGTTCTGCCTGTTCTTCTGGTGGCGGAGGAGTAGGAGACGCCCCAGTTCCTCACACCACGAGGACAGAAGGGCTGGAAGGAGAGCAGAAGAGAATGTGTCAGTTTGTTCCACATCTGTTGGGATTTGTCGGAAAATTCCCTCTGCACAACCAGTTCAAACATACTGCATAAGCACAAAGTGCACAATAAAACAAGACAGTAATAGTAAGCTTCAAAGCTAAATTGAAACAAATTTAAATGTGGTAAGTGTATTAATTAAGGTCCAAGCAGTCTACTAGCATGGGTCAACCTCAATGAGCATGTAATCACATGCAGAAAATGCGATAATCCTTGCATCACCAGAGAAGATTCTGTTTTTGACAGGACTGGGGCTACATTCCTATTAGTTGCAACATAATCATGTAAATTCARATTTTTAAATAAACTCACACAATCTGTTAACATAGTCTCAAACACATTTAATTCCAAACCATCGCTTTTAAAAAGGAACAAACGGATGCTCCATATTTTTACATTACAATTTCAAATATTTGCCTGAATTAGGCATGTCAYTGCTGCTAACGGCCACTAGAGTTCACTCTGTGCAAGCAGATGGACTCTAGTTGTCCTCCACGCCTACCTACTGCTTAATTCGACAGCCACCACAGAGCGTGTTTGATCAAATCATATGCTTTTCATCTGCAGTGCATGTTTACGCACTGTGCACCGACTACAAAAAAACTTCCACTTTTCCTCTCCTCACTTGCTCTGTATGTGGCACCAGAAAAAAAAGGGAATGGCGGTTCAATCATAGAGGAGGGCAGCCACCTCTTCTTGTGATTCACAACACCTCTAGGGCTGAGCAAGGAGCTGGAGGGGTGGGTGGGTGAGACAGAGCGTTCAGTGGTTTCAGCTGCAGTTTGTGCAGGGGGAAAAAAAGCCACGTCAATATGACAGCAGACAGTGCAGGCTGTCTTTGCACCCTGCTGCCACATGGAAGTATGGGCTGCCGTGCACATAATATACACACAATAAAAAAAAGGTTCAGCAAGTCACCGACAGAGGAAAAACCAGGCTAATGGGGCTGATAGTGGGGCTGAACAAACAAAAGCTTCTGGCTACCATCACAAACATGGAAACCCAGAGATGTGGCCACACATGGCTGCCTGCGAACAGAGCACACGCTTAATGACACTGTACCAGCACAAATAAACAGGGGCACAAGATGTCCTCGGAGTGCGGCGAATTTCCGAGGACGACGTCGAATTTCCGCATCGATACACACACGAGAGTGCTGCACCCCAAAAGGCACCTCCTATCCTTTCATTTGAACACGGAGCACACCAGCCTCGCTCTGTGTAAAGACGAGGGCTGGAATACAAAAGACGTGTACAGATGGTGCCAGCAGTCTCCCTCCTCTCTCCTCCCACCCCCTTTAAAAAGCAGCACGGGGCTCAGGCACAGAGGCAGCTGGGTTTTTCCTCCTTCCCACCCGCTCATTGCTCCCTCTCTTCCCCTCTCCTCCTCCTCCCGCCTGTTCTTAGCGAGGCAGGTGCCAGGAGACAGGCTGTGCGGCTCCTCCAGAGAATTGATCTGACTTTAACACGGCTGTGCTTTCGTTGACAGAAAAGGCCACTCAGGTGAACTCCAACTTAAAACATCGCACTTGCAAGTAAACGCTCGGATTTGCAAGTTCCTTTAACTTGAACACAACAGCGGCTAACTGATTTGTGAGTCGCACAGCTACGTGAGAACGTCCTGCAGCATCCTCCCTCTCCTTGGTCCTCTTTCTTATAGAGAGACTTTTCAATTCAAACGCCTGGCATCTAGCCAGCATGTTACAGCTCAATTAGGTCCAATTATTCTCTTCCAACAAAGGGTAACTTGCACTTCTTTCGTGTTGATAAACATGTCTTCACAATGTTTCCCCTCATAGTGCCATCACGAGGCTGTCTGGCTCAGCGGACAGTATCTTCATTCTATAACCAATATCAGCAGGCACAGAGCAAAAACAAGCAGAGCAGAGAAATGTCAATACATTGACTGTTTGAGGAGAAAAGGAGGAAGCTCCAGCGCCCCCCAGTTAAAAAAGAATTATTCTACCCCACAATTAGATAAAGGTCTTATCGCCACACAGAGATACTGCCTCCAAAGAGCACCTGCTTGTTTAAAAAGAAGCCTTGTCACTGACTCAGGATAAACTTTAAGTTTCCCATGACAAGAAAAGAAGCAGCCAGTCTGTTCCTCCTCCTTTCCCCAGACCAAAACAAGTCTTAGGACAGTCCAGATGATGAACACAAAAGGATTACTGTTTCTTTTCTATTTCTACAGACAACCCTTCAATGGACTCATCTGGCTCTTTTTTGACAGCCCGAACTGAAGATAATTGCCTCAGGTGTAGGGCTTCCAAATCTCAATCTGGATTAATTCAAACTGGCATTTTTTTCTTTCTTTCCTTATTCATTTTGCTACCAATCATCTTTCCACCGTGATTTCATTGGTATCCCTTGTGGCAACGGATCCGTGCTGTCCAAAAAAGAGATGGGGCTGTCCTGTTTGCTTGGTAGATGGTCCCAGGGGCCTGGCTGAGTCTGAAACCTATTGATATTCTGGTGCTCAGCTGTCCAGCCTGATGGTCAATGGTGGCGAATAGCAGTAAACACATCTGCTGGGACTAGATGGGTGGTTCAGTAGCTCGACCTGCAGCTTCCAGCTTTGTGTGCTGTCATAAAGCCCCAGGGAGACATGACAAATGACATGGACTGGATTTCTGACAGTCGTTCAATGCTCTGTCCCACCGCTCCCCCCCACTACTTATTTACAGATAAGAGGCAGAGAGATAAACAGCGCTGGGATTTGACTTTGGCCAGTCTTTTGCTCTTTGCATGACTGTTTACATACATCCATATGTTAGTAGTGACTGACCTACACTCACCGGCCACTTTATTAGGTACACCACGCTAGTAATGGGTTGGACCCCCTTTTGCCTTCAGAACTGCCTCAATTCTTCGTGGTATAGATTCAACAAGGTGCTGGAAGCATTCCTCAGAGATTTTGGTCCATATTGACATGATGGCATCACACAGTTGCCGCAGATTTGTCYGCTGCACATCCATGATGCGAATCTCCCGTTCCARCACATCRCAAAGATGCTCTATTGGATTGAGATCTGGTGACTGTGGAGGCCATTTGAGTACAGTGAACTCAWTGTCATGTTCAAGAAACCAGTCTGAGATGATTCCAGCTTTATGACATGGCGCATTATCCTACTGAAAGTAGCCATCAGATAGATGTTGGGTACATTGTGGTCATAAAGGGATGGACATGGTCAGCAACAATACTCAGGCAGGCTGTGGCGTTGCAACGATGCTCAATTGGTACCAAGGGGCCCAAAGAGTGCCAAGAAAAGATTCCCCACACCATGACACCACCACCACCAGCCTGAACCGTTGATACAAGGCAGGATGGATCCATGCTTTCATGTTGTTGACGCCAAATTCTGACCCTACCATCCGAATGTCGCAGCAGAAATCGAGACTCATCCGACCAGGCAACGTTTTTCCAATCTTCTCTTGTCCAATTTCGATGAGCTTGTGCAAATTGTAGCCTCAGTTTCCTGTTCTTAGCTGAAAGGAGTGGCACCTGGTGTGGTCTTCTGCTGCTGAAGCCCATCTGCCTCAAAGTTCGACGTACTGTGCGTTCAGAGATGCTTTTCTGCCTACCTTTGTTGTAACGGGTGGTTATTTGAGTCACTGTTGCTTTTCTATCAGCTCGAACCAGTCTGCCCATTCTCCTCTGACCTCTGGCATCAACAAGGCATTTCCGCCCACAGGACTGCCGCTCACTGAATGTTTTTTCTTTTTCGGACCATTCTCTGTAAACCCTAGAGATGGTTGTGCGTGAAAATCCCAGTAGATCAGCAGTTTCTGAAATACTCAGACCAGCCCTTCTGGCACCAACAACCATGCCACGTTCAAAGGCACTCAAATCACCTTTCTTCCCCATACTGATGCTCGGTTTGAACTGCAGGAGATTGTCTTGACCATGTCTACATGCCTAAATGCACTGAGTTGCCGCCATGTGATTGGCTAGAAATTAAGTGTTAACGAGCAGTTGGACAGGTGTACCTAATAAAGTGGCCAGTGAGTGTATACTGATGACACTGGAAACAATCTTTATCCCAAAACTCATTGAGTCATGCAGCTGGTGTATTCTTTAGCTGGTATTTTCAGGCTCTAAATATCTATGCTTCTAAAGCATTTGTGAATAAACTGTTAAAAATTTTAAACAGACTTTAGTCTGTTTAAATTTTTAAACTTTTTAGATTTGGACTTTGCAGACGCACAGTTTTAGGTCGTATTCATACTGATAGTCCAGTAGACTCGGTTGGATTTGGGACCAAAACTGCAAGATTTGTTGAAGTTTTCAGCAGGTGCGATTCGCTTTCACACTGCACTGTGGCAAAGGAATGAAACCCTGTGTACAACCTGTTCCCCACCTTGCCTGTGGTGGTACTGCACCAAGACCCACTGAAGGAAACAACATGAAAACCTCAGAAGAAGACAACTTCCTTCTTCACAAAAAGTAAACAAACATGGAGTGACATAAGATTTTAGTGGTTGTAGGATCTCTTTTTTGGTTTTGGTAAATGTACCAAACAAACAAACATTTTTCAAAAATGGGCTCAGCACTAGTGGAAGATGAGGCATATCCATGATGAATATTGGTTTTCACACAGGGCGGATGAGGCGGCTTTACCGAATAGGAGCATGTCCAACTTCACCGCAGTGATGCCCACCTTATACAGACATCAAGAGAGGTCTTTACAAGATATGAGTATCGTAACTTAATTACTGTTATCACTCAGATTACACTGCATTATAGTCTGCTTCCTGCTCTTGGCGTTCACACATGCAATCGAACCGCACCAGTGATAACCAACCAAACTGAGACGTAGGTTTTCAGGCAGACCAGWGTTTGCTTTTTTGGTCAATTACTCATTCACACCTCCCTGAACGAACCAGACTTTCTAGGCAAATGAACTAGAGTTRGATTAAAGCGGACTAAACAGGGCTGGTGTGAATACACCCTAA